GTGTGGTCGCGCGGGGGGGGGGGGGGGGGGGGGGAAGCTGTCAACCTGATCAAGGCTTAAAATGTAAGAGTCCCACATCACAGGCGTATTTCCCGGTCCTCTTTGTAGGAGTGGAGATAAGGGAAGCCATCCTGTCAGTACTGAACCCAGCCACTTCAAAGGGCTGCGAGCCACATGGCGTATGCTTCTCAGTACTCCTGCCACACAGGTTTAGAAGCAAAGCCGGCCATAAAGCTCAAGGTGGGGTTTTTTTCTGCTGTGTTCTCCCAGCCATTTGTGCACGCGTCCCCTCCACAGGCACTAATGGAAACCTCCTACCCGATCGCATAACTGCGACATGGAGCGCAGCTTGACTTTAAGACAGCTTGCACTTATTTTTAAAATGGAAGCGCATGCTATAAATTAGGATTTTCCCATTAAAACACAAAAAAGGATGTGGTAGCGCTGATCCAAGAACTTAACAGAAACCTGCTTTCTTCACTGCAGAGCTTCAAGCAGCTGGGCAGAGAGACTGGCACAGAAAAGCCTGCCTTTCTAGGGAAGCGCTTAAACATGTTTAATTCTCACTGAAGTCAACAGGACTCAGGGGACCACAGGAATTGCCAGACTGAATCAGAATATTGGTCCATCTAGTTCAGCATCCTGCCTCTGCCAGTGGGCAACCAGAAACACATGACAGCAAGATGGAGGAACCCTGCAGCTGGGAGATAATTTGCCTCTTTCCCACACACAAGATGTCATTTTGATCTCCAGAAGCGAGCGCTGATGTGCGGAGGTTTGATATCCCTTCCAAACATTCAATCATCATTGCACAATTTCAATAGCCTCATTATCCACCATAGGAAACGTGGCTGAGAAGAACTTCAAGAGGTCAACCAGTTCATCCCTCTTCCCCAAAAGAAAGATCAAAAGCCAGTTGCTTCGCTGAGCCCAAGCCTCCTGCAACTTCATGTGAGAATTTAACAAAAAAAAAAATTTCCTTACAGTATTACAGAATTTGCCCACCTTTAAATTCAAGAGAACATCTCCTTGATCTAGGTTTAAGCATACGTTTAAGTGCTTTCCTGGGTCAGGGCCAAACTCCTCAACTGGCAAAGTATCCTGTCTTGGCGTTCAGCACGTACAGAAGAACTTCCAAGGCATGGAAAGGGAATGGCACGGTTTGTGAGTGGGTGGTGAGCACTTAAGTACATCACCTAAAAAAGCAATCCAGTTACCAGCTTGCTTCACACCAGCTGCTCCATTAGAAGCCCAACAGCTGATGCCCTTTAAGTTCATGCACTCACATTTACCAGAGTTTAAGAGAATATGTTCCCAATTTAGCTCATGTAGTTTCTGGCTTTGTTATAGTTCCCCTCAAGGATCAGCACGGGGTAATTGCGTCCCTGGTGCTCTCCCACGCAGTGAGAAGCCCACACGCAGCCGAGAGCAAACTAGTCCTTTGCACCAGGAATAGCGGACACTTGAAGGTGGCCCTCAAAGCCACCGAGTGGGACACTGTTGTGCATCCCTGTGGTTTGCCTGGCTTCAGAGAGACTACAATTTTGAAATGGTTCAGGAAGACCAAACAATGACAGGCACTCATTTTTTCATGGGTGGTAGAGGTTGTCTCCGTGCTGCCTGCGCTGGTGGATCACATCCACAGCCAGCCTCTGAGCTGTACTTGGCCTCCATCTCCTATTCTCCAGCCACCATCATCTCACACAGCACAACAGCTTCCATCTTACAGACCCACTTTTCATTAAAACACATGCCACAAGATTTTTTTTTTCTTTAAACATAATTCATATTTAAAACGTCCCTCAAATTTCATATTTCCCCACACTACTTGGCTGCGTTACCCTGCTAACTTTCTCCAGATGCTGCACATCTTCCAGGTGATCTTCACCCATGCTTACATTCACCTCACATTACATTATAACAAATCTAAGTGTTACTAAGCAGGAGACTGACTTCAGCAAGGCCTGGATTACTTTTCACATGCAAACAGCTCTTTTGGGCACTGCTCTTCCCATTTCCCGATGCCGTCTCGAGCAAAAAGGAGAGGGAGAGCACAGCACAACTTCAGCCACACCTCGGGCCCAGGCGTAGCTGCAGGAGACCATCCACCGTATGATCTAGTGGATCTACATATACAACCACATCCCACAGAATAAATCCCTCTATTCAGGGGGCTCAGGCGCTCAGTCAACCCACGTACCACACCATGGAGCAGGCAAGTTCAACCCTCCACCAAGGCGCAAGTGATTTCAAAATGGTGGAACGTACCGCTACCAAAACCACCTTCCTCCCAACCACCAAGATGGCAGTTCTTCAGCTCACACCCATCACATCTGCTAAACGGCTCCCAGCGCCACTGGGCAAGAGGTTGCGTGCAGAAACCATCAACGCAGCGCTGAAGTCTGCTAGGGGACAAGGTGGCTAACGCAGCAGCCCCTCGTGCCTCTCACACGTAGTGTCAGAGGATGTAAAGCCATCATAGACATTTTTCCCTGCTCATGTTCTGCGTTCTGGCCAGTTTGCTATAGAATATATATTTTCCTTCTGCAGGCGCAGAGCGTTTTACAAAACAAAGCAGCTCTAGACCACTTTAGGAGACCCAGACATTTAAAAGCCTCTAATCTCTGGTAAAGCAACAACCACCATGAATGGTTCAAATGTCCAAATACTGCTATAAAAACAGGCAAGTAATTGCTCAGTGAAGGGAGTTGTCCACATCCATGGTTAAATTTGGACATTTGTAACTATGGGGTATTTACTGTGCCCGGCTATGTGCAAAAGTAACTACAAAGTTAAATACTAAAAAGCCTCTTCCCCTTTCCTCCTCTCCACTCATGCCTAACACGTGTTTATGGCAGTGGAAATTATGCACGCAGAGGGAGAGGAGAATAAATAACCCACCAAGTCATCTGAGGACATCTGCATGCACTAGCACACCGCTCACCCACTCAGCAGCCTCATTATGCTGCCCTGCCTGCCCCTTGAACTTACCTGATCCTGCCCTTCCCAACCAGAGATCTCCCCTTTCCCTGCCCCCCATTTTTTATTCCTGGGGGTAATTTCAGTTAGGTCCTTACAGTGGTGGCATAACTACAGCAGTAAGAGAAGAGGAAGAGCTGCAGGATGAAGTGTTGTGTGTGTAGCTGTTTGCCTCAAGTAGTTAAAGCCTGTCAGGTCTCATCTATCGGAAATCAATCTCACCATCATGCTATCAACTGCCGCTATAACGTCAGCACCACAAAGGTCCTTCGGGTACATCCTGATACATGACATTTTCTAGTGTTCTACTCCTGTACGTATCAATGGGATTTTCCTTTGAAAGAAATAAAGACGCTCAGAAAGCAATGTAAAAAGCCTTAAAGCAATAATGCTAACAGATTAAAACTTAATTAAGCCTTTTCCTATTAGTAGCAGTAACAGTATACACGTTTTCCTATGCTCCCCTGGGAGCAGTGCAAGCGAGATCCCATTGCACTGTGTGATACACGAGCGCGGAGCAGAGGCCAGCCACTGAACTTACTAGACTGTAAAAAGCAAGGTAGCGGATTGAGAGACCCCTCACCTCTCACAAGCACCGCAGCACTGAACAG